GTGTGTGTGTGTGTGTGTGTGTGTGTGTGTGTGTGTGTGTGTGTGTGCACGCTTCACTAAGTCGCTGTGCACATATCCTGAATGTAGGAACTGTTGCGAAATGTGCAGTAAGCTGACAGCTCATGGCGAAAAAGTTGAGAGGGAAGAAAGAGAGCGAGGGTAGGAAAGAAGAGGAGGAGGAGTAGCGGAGACGGGCAACATGCATCAGTCTCTATGGCAACCACCACCTCGCCCACGGCAACAAACTTCCTGCTCTGCTGAAGCAAAGAGAGATGGGCGGGGTGGTGGTGGTGGTGGTGAGGTGTGGCTTCAGAGCTAAAGACGGGGAAGAACACACCACACCGTTAATGTACATTTCACTGTTTGAGTTATTAGCTAGAATTAGCATTCTGTGTCTACCTCTCTTTTGCTCCTTCGTTCTTCCCCTCCTTCGTTCTTCCTCTCCTTCCCTCTAACTCTTAACTCGCCTGGCACAAAGCGACTCCTCCCAAAGATTCCTTACAGCTCTCCACTGCCCCCTGCAGGTTCCTTCTGTCTCTCCTTACCCTCACTTATGGTTTCTTTCACTGTGTGCCCTTCTCTGGGTTTCTCTTTTCCATTTTGCCATACGGATTGAACAGATGAAAAATAGGTGTCGGTAGCATCTCACTTGTGTCGTATCCTCTCATTAGCAGTCAGGTGAAAAGCTCTCATCTAGCTCATTGTCTGATTTTAAAAATGAATAAATTAAATCATTTTCTGAAGGAGTTAGATGCGTGTTGGCCGTCTGTTCCTCTGACAGGCTTACACTCCTCACTCCTGTCCGTCTGTCTCGTCATGTCTCATATGTCTGCTCTCTGTCTCTCTAGCCTTCATGTCCTATCCTAACAATGACGTGCAAAGTTTGTTGCCATACATGCTTTAAAATGCAGTGCAGATTTTTTTTCATACCTCCCCTCCCTTTGAAGTCTGTTTTCAATATTTCAGGCTTTATCTTCAGATTGCACGGTGGAGATCGACACTCGATAGAATACAGACATGTGACAACCCAGCGTGAGGTGAATACCAGCCCACGCTCTCTCATCATGGGAATACGTATCCAGCTTTGCGTGAATTTTCGCCTCAACCCCACTGCGTCTCACCTCAATGTAGCTTCAATGGAAATTGAAAAGCGAAGCTACTGTACATGTGCTGCGTGTCACTGCGGCATGGTGTAAAACACAAGTATAAATGACTATTTACAGCGGAAAACCTCGTGAAAAGATATCATTCAAAGAAAGTTTCTACCTTTGTGTTTCAGAAAAACAGCTTTACGAGGGCTGTAGCAGCTGAATGCTAATGAGCTAGCTTAGAGCTAGAAGGGCCTGTTTGAGTCCATTTGGAAATCTGCTATCCTGTATTGCTAGCATGACATTTTTCACCTAACTATAATGTGTGTAATGAAAGCAGATACTTCTCGCTGTGGCACTCTGCCAGTTGTGTTTAAGAGGAAAGTTCAGCCTCCAGGTTCTTGCACATAAATGTGAATGAATCATGAATTTCCTGTAAGCATTATTCACACTTGCGTTTTTATTTTTTCTTCATCTGGCACTTGCCATATGCACATTTATTCCCCTACTTGTTCCTCTGATAACCTTAACATTTTTAAAACTCTACAGCCAAGTCAAATGTTAGCGGCAAGCTAGCAAAAGCATTAATTTGAATGAGGAACACTCGCGGCGCTAATGTCCCATATAGCTAATTGACTTGCTAATACAGAACCTCTCAACCTCACGTTATTATGACAAGTAGCTCGTGAGGAAATGATCAGCGAGATTTCAACGTATCCCAGCATTAATTTAATAGCAAGGTGTATATACTCTCATTAAGATAAGTAGCGGAAGGCTATTCAGTGCCAAGATGTTGATTGCAGAGAGCGAGGTTAGCCAGATGTGTTGAAAATCCATAACTCTTAATTGATTGCGATTAAAAAGTTGTGCGTGGATCATAAAATAAATAAGAAAGTAGCAGATGTTTCAAATGTTGTTTTCCGAGTGCTTGGGTTCTCTCTGCTGAGGCTGCAGTTTGTAGTCTCTGTGAGGGACTTTTCAACATATTTATGCTGTTAATGAGGTAAGTCGTAAGTTGGACATGCTCGCTGCTATAGCTAATGTCTTTGAGTGGAGTTTTGAAGGTGGCTACAACAACCGTACTCTTTTGCCGGGGGAGGGGGGGGGGAGACGCTGTAAAATTCGACGGCGCTCGTTTGTCATGTCAAGGTCGATACTTTCCTCGGGTTCCGCATTCCTCCTCCTCATCTTTTTCTCTTCCTCCATCCATTCTGTTTCTCCATGTCTGAGTGAGCTCTTGCCTCCCCCTCTCCTCCATCTTTTTTTCTCCTCTCCTCTCAGTCTGTTATTATATAGGTATTTCGTTCCGCTGTCCTCCCTGCCCTCTCGCCTCTTCCACTCTCCCCTCCATCTGCCCTGACCTGGCTTCACCCCCTCGTCCCTCTTCCTTCCTCCACTTCTTTTTCATCTCCTTCTTTCCAAATCCTTTCCTTTTATCAGCCTCCTCCTCTTTAACTCTCTTTTCCTGTCATAGCTCAGCTTCTCCCCCCCCCCCCTTGCCTCCCTTCCTCTCTCCTGTCATGCTTTCCATCCAGAAGCTCTGAGCCCCAGTGTTTGGCCAGGATGAATGGGAGCTATTTAGGCTGCTGGCAGGTCCATCCTGTGTGTGTGTGTGTGTGTGTGTGTGTGTGTGCGCGCGTGTGTGTGCGTGTGTGTCCAGAGAGAGTAAGACTGTGGATATTATGTGTTTTGACAACTTGGGGTTTTCAAATTTTTGCACAGCGTCCCTTTTGGAGGTGGCCAGATTGGTAAACTTTTTGTAAACATGGCCATACAGCAAGATGCACCCTTGGCCTGCTCAAAATACGATCAAATTACAAATCACCACAGAATAAAGCACTAGACACACACTTACTGAATTGTATATTGTTATGAACGAATTTTCATCATAATATTCTCTCTCATTTTCTTTTATTCTCCTTTTTAGTCCACCAAAGGTCCCCGTGATCGTGTCTGGAGTGGTGACAAAGGTGAGACACGCATGCACATATACACACACGCACGCATACAAAGACCACCAGTAGTGTTGAAATAGGCATGATAAGGTGGTTTATATCTGGGACATGAGGTCTGCAGGGAGAGGTGGAGGCTTAGTGCTGAGACTGAACAAGAGAGAAAAGGAATCGCAAGGCAGAACAAGAGAAGAAAGGGTTGAGGGTACCAACAGAGAGAATTGTACTAAAGTAAAGAAGGGTTGCGATCAGGAATCAAATATCTATAATTAAAGATGATGCTGTGAGTTTGATTGATAGTTTGTCTGTTTTAAAAGCTGTTTTTAAAAGGGGGGGTGGTAGTGGTGGTATGTGTAAGCTTGACCTGCCACTTTGAAAAGTGGGTCAAAGTCTGTGGAAGGACGTGTGTGTGTGTGTGTGTGTGTGTGTGTGTCACACACCAGGCAGATTGTTTGCGGAAGATTGCAGTGATATCAGCAAGGTGGCAGGCCTTCCATTTATCCCCCGATCCTCCTCTAGCCTTTCCATTCGCCCTCTATCACTGCCATCAAACCCTGAGGCTAGCACTGCACAAAGCCTCAGAAAAGCCTTTAAGGAGCCAAGTGAAACACTTCAGTGTGTGTTCAGTTTGTAGCCTGCTGAGACTTCTTGTAAAAAAAACAAGACATTTCCCGGCTCTATCTTTTCTTTCTCTTTAAAGGACAGAATAAGATCCTCACGTATTTTGGTATTAAAATGATTCCACCAAAGGGCATCTAATGCTAGGCAGTTATTTAGGGTAATGCATGTATTCCGGCCTCCTGTCCACAGTTGGGTTTTGTGGTTCAGAACACGTGTCCTCCTGCCTGCTGGGATCAGATCTCTTCAGAAATCCTGTTCTTTACCGTCCCCAAAGAAACGTCACACCGTTATCCCAGCGTCAAATTAAGTCATCATACCTCAGCAAAATATCAGGGACCGGATATCTGAAGACGAGAAAAATATGTCAATGATTATTTTTTTTTTTTATTATACGCTGACAGTTATATTCATGAAATACATTGTTGAGGAGTACATCTTAGCCGGTCAGCATATTGGGTACATGCCTAAATGCATGTTGGGTAAGACAGTTTTCTTTGGAATAATTTAGCAGAAAAAACCCCACATTGGATGCAGCCACACTCTTAAAATGCATGGAAAGAAATGAATGATCTTCCATCGTCTTTATTCCACCTTCTTATACGCATCTTAAAATGGAAGTTTGCTGCATTATGTTAATGTCAGCAATTCAAGAAACTTAAGCACACTTGAGCCACATGGATGTTAAAAAAAAAAGAGTAGTTTAATTCTTCCATTTTCTAAGATGTCTTCCTTTTGGTTTTGTGTTTTTATCGAAATCTGATTTGAAAAAACAAATCTCTCCACAGAAATGTGTATTTTAGCTGTGTACTAAATGGTATAAAAAGGAGTTAGGAGACTTGCCAATCATCATGACTTCTGTTCACAGTTTGGTGCAATAATACCGGTAATTAGTTGCATTCCCTCCCATACCTCTGCAGTAGGAAGGAGATAGAGGAGAGAGAAGCTTTGAGCTTCAGAAGAGAGGACAAGGGCAATAGGAGGTCAAATCCATTCACATTCCATCCAGTTAGCTGTGGAATTGGCTTTAAATGAAAGAAACACACACTAAATGTTTTGTGCCCACCTACACACACACACACATGCAGGAGAGCTAGTGTGCACAGCCTACATACAGTACAAAACCAACACATACAGAGAGGATTAGGGTCAAGCAAGGATAGGCTGGTAGTAAAGTTCAGATAGACAGACAGGCAGTGTTTGTGTTTGTAGAATGTTGATTAAATTGCTTATACAAATGTATCCATATGGACATCCTAAGAAATCCGATAGTGAGGAAACCATTCGTTGTCATTTTGTTTGTGATGGAGAAGTAATATCCACATTATTATAGCAACACCTGGACAAAATCAGCTAAACTAAATACCACAGAATTAAAACTTAACAATGTTAATCCACTTCATCATGCGAGCTGCAGTGTAATCAATGTTATGTGCAATGCATTTGCTCTGAAGCTCATCTCCCCACTCGTATTTTCTCTCACAAATGGGATGGGATGGGGGGGAGAGAGAGGTTAGAGAGAAGTGTAGCCTGAAAAAAAACAAACCAGGTAAATTAAGGGGAGGAAAATATAGACACCAAGTAGTGAAAAACAGCGCAGTGAAGAACAGGTGTGAGAAAGGAAAGAAAGAGAAACATTGAGGAAGATGGCTGAGCATGCTGGCAGGTAGAGATAAAAAGAAAGAAGGGGGGAATGGAGTCATGATTGTAGTAAGTCTCTGATTAAAGTTCCGCATTCCCCTGTGAGTAATCGAATTCCTGCTTCGACCCGATTTAGAAGCGAGCGTCTGTTTTTGGGTGTTTTTCTTGGAATGGGAGATTGAGGTTGCGGAGCACATTAGCGGGGACGGATGAGGGCCCCGTGCTCTACCCTTCACTCTCAGGGATTTCCTCATTGTTCTGATTATCAGAGGGAAAGGATTTTTAAAAATGTGGCATAAAGGGCTCGGAAACCAACTGCAAAAACTTTGTATTACAAACATACTTTCTCTCACATGTTTTGTCTGTTTGATAATGAGCCTCTTATTGGTGACAATCACTATCCTCCTGTTTAATAGCTAACCTCAGAGTGATGGATATTTGCCGTACTGTGTAGTAGTAGATTTGCAGCAGGTATGACGCAGCAAAGCTCATGCGCGGTATCATCTGTAAAGCTTTTTGCTTGGATCTTGATTTTCCCAGCCAGGCTGAGGCTGTGAACATTGCTGTTCGTTATCGTGCCGCCTCAAAGACTTGTGACTGTCTGTGTGTTCTGTTCAGGGTGATAAGGACTTCACCCCTGCAGCTGCCCAGGTGGCTCATCAGAAGCCCCAGCCTTGTGTCTCCAAGCTGCCGGCCACTCAGCACATCAACCAGCACATCCACCAGCCCCGCAAGTGAACTTGCAGGCAGCGAGCTATGATAGCGACGCCAGCCGGCCTTCCCCACGGAACGGACAGGATGATGATGTTTGCCCACCAGGCACAGATCTCCTCTAAATAATCAGAGTAGTTTTTCGTTACATATATCAGCAATTTATCAGCAAATGACACCCAATGCGAATACAGCCATCGTTAGAAGTTCCAATCTTCACACCCCTGGTGCTTTGGTGCTGCACTACAAGTTCTGCACTTTTGTGTCCTCTCCTTAAGAGAAATGGTTTTGACAGCTGTACAGTCTTAAGGTGGTATGCATGGGCGGGTGGTCTTTTATAATTATCATTCTAGGATTAAGCATTATTGAAAAAATATCAGGTATGTGGGGGGGGGAGGGGCTCTTACCCCAGCGATGTGCCAACCATTACCACATCACAGCAAAACAGCCATTCACAGCAACCCATCAATCAGGCCAACCAATCACCTCAGCCTAAGCTCCAGCCTTCTACCTCCTGATCTTCAGACCAAAAAAAAAGAACCAATCAATTAAATCAGGAGGTGGACACCAGTTTTACATTAATCAACACAAACCAAATAAAGAGCACACAGAGAGCAGCTTCTCAAATGCAAAACGCATTTCCATGTGTGGATCACTGAGACTGTTGCCAAATTGCACTGTACAGCATGAACCAGAGAGAGGAAAAGTAGCTAATTACAAGACGGCATCAACCGATCATTAGCCCCAACGCTGAGGTCACTGGCAAGTTTGACGAGCATTCCATTTGGCCATTTCAATATTATAGATGCCCAATAAGGAGAACCATGATGCATACAAATTGCCCACTTCCCTGTTATGGAGGCTGTCCTTACCCAAGTATCTACTTGATGCATGCCGTTAGTGTCGTGACTCAAGAAGGCTAGCTACGCTTATATAGCTTTTGGGCCACAGCAAAGTCTGTCGATCTTTTTCTACAGTTCCCTCTCTGTCACCGTTGTTACCTTTTTTATTTAATAGAGACGAGTCTTGCAGATCTTTGATCTACTCTCTATTTTTTCCCTGCCTTGTCGGAGCTGTAATAATGCCCATCCTTCCGTGGCAATGTTAATTTGAACGCAAACTCAACCCGCTTCACGGTAATAGTATCCCATCAGTGCCTCATTGCTCAGGATTTTTTGTTCCGTCTCATTTGACTCGCACGGATTTACATTTTCTTTGCTTCGCACCAGAGTCAACAGGAATGAAAATGTATATCCAGAAATGTGATGAAATCTTAAGATACTGTGAAGCAGCTGCAGAATGCTTTGTGTTTCTATTAACATGAGCCTGAACATCACCATTGCCGATCAAAGCGTTGCAGAGAAGCGGCTCAAAAAGCAGGGAGGCTCGTAGCTTCGTAGTTTCGATGAAGGTGACGAGGCAATCGCTGGGCAAAAAAAAAAATTTTTCCATAGAACAAATATGTTGACTATGTGACAGTTTGTCAGTGTGCAAGGACAATACATTGATTTCTACTTGCCAGGGTATCCGCAGGTATAATAATCAGTATCGGCTCCCCGAAATATCAATACACACAGACACACACCACCCTTATCCTTAATCACCCATCCCCTTACACTCAAGTGTCATTTGTTGCAACACTAATGTTCAGGTTTCCAGGAAAGAGAGAAATAGAGAAATTTATCTTGCCAAGAAGGAATGATTTCCGATGGTAATTTAATGGAGTTTTATTTTTCTCGGTTCTTTTTCTTGAGTAAATTGTTCAAACTGTATAAATCTTTATCCATTTCGTGGACTTGGGTATTAGGTGTGGTTGTCATAGTAAATAAAGATATATATACCATCTTGGAAAAAAAAAAAACAGCCTTTTTATTTGAATGAAATGAGGGATGACTTGACGAAAACTTGTCTTGAGGCTGGCTTTGTGGAATTTGTCATGTGAAAAAAGGTTTTCAGTCGGCCAATGACACAGTTCTGAGGTTCAAAGTAGTCCTACTTGACTGATCGTGTGCTGTACCTGGAGTATTTGAGCATCCCACGGTGAATTAGCACCCTGCGCTGAGGGATTAAGGCTCAGGTGGTGTTTTTGAAATGAAACCGAAGCATCTCTCCAAGAGCTGTCCACTGTTTTTCTTCCCTCTGCTCTCGCTCTCTCTCACACACACACATACACACAGCATGCAGCAGGTGTTAGTGCGTGTAATCCATCTTTACACAAGCATCTGCAACCAGGTGTTCTGTCGGTTTATGTTAGCCCAATAAACCAGCCAGTGCAGGCTTAGTTGGTGCGAGCTGTAACACCCCATTAAAGCAGACACAATCTCCTTGACTCTCCACGGTTTTATATAGTTCTCTCAATGTGGCAGAACTCTCATCCCCTGCCATGCCGCATTAGACTGACTGGGAGAACAGAATGAGAGCGAGAACGCTGCTAAAAAATGTATTACACTGCCCGTGCTCAGGAATCTCTAGTTCTATGAGAATGAAGACGGTAAATTGGATCAAGATTCATTCTTAAATACTCTGATAGCATGTTATTGCTAGTTAACATCAAGTCAGTATTTAGCACATAGTAGTGACACTGCCAAGAATTATTCACCTGTAACTATGACAGCCCGTACAAATGTGCTAAAGTGCTTTTGGAATACCTATTAAGTTTAATTACATGGTCTCTTTAAATTTGCCTTCTAGATTGACGTCTATTAAATATCAAATAATAGGAATGTAGGTTCAGCTTTTCACATGTCTGAAGTCTTTAGAGTGACGGCTTTGTTTAAGCCGGTAGACCCACTCATCGACTGGCTCAGTGGTCTGTTCTGGTCGGTACTGGTGCCTGGTAACATCAAACAATTACCCATGAGCAAGGCACTGCCTTCTATGTTTATATATTTAGGATAGAATCATGTTTTTGTAGTTTCTTCTTCCATAAAAACAGTCACCGTTACAGTTTAAGGCACTTTACCCAAGTCGTCATTTCGGGTCACTTTATTAGCCCTGAGTATACACCACCAGCTGTTAGCCTGAGGTCCTTAGGAACATTAAAACTGGCTTCAGCTAGTTGAGACTGGTCATTTCTCTGACACAGCCGCCTGAAAACATTCCACCAATGCTGAGGTTTACTCGGTCAACAGGCACCAGTGGGAGTAAAGGGTGCTTCAGTCATTTAGGTCAGGACATTTTTGGAAAGGCATCAGGGTCGAAATGACAAATGCACGGTGACATTTTTGGCTCCAGTTTCACCAAAACCAAACTACTTGCTTTTCATATTCCAAGCATCACATCATATCTTACTCCTCAAACAGCATTGACAGGATTTTTATGTAATACTAACCTATTTTCTGTAGTGTCGTTCCTAAAAATGTCTAACGGAAAGTATAATGCAGTACGTTTGGTGTTATCAAAGCTCCCGGGAGCTTCTGTCAGAGAGCTTCTCTCTGCCTAGTTTTCCTCACTTTCTATCAGTGATAGCACCGCCACTTGCAGTTCATTTTTAGTTCACACGTTGGAGATCATTCTGATGCTGATTTAATTGTGAGACATTTTCATTTATTCATACTTTTTCAGCATTTCAGAAATGGAATTCATTAAGAAGGGCCTACTTTATCCTTGATTGCATCACGGTATCATTTCACAGAATACTTTAAAGAAAGAAATAAAATGAACTGGCTCTCATACCTTCAGCACGGGGATAGATTACACTTCGTTCTTGCTTAAGCCGAAGAAAATATAGTCATTGTGGACCATAAGGATAATATTTTTGAGCATGCATTTTTTACAAATAAAGCTTCTGATTTTCTTGAGAAATTAAATAATTAAATCAACTCATTTATAATTTTCTTTTTCAACTTCCGAGTAGCACTTACATTCTAAAAGCAATCTGCTACACGCAGATTGCTTCATCTTACTTCTTGATTATTTCATGGCACATATATAACGGGGTTTTTTTTTTGTTATTAATTATCACATTTAAGATTTGACAACTATCTGTAGTGACAATGTAATAACTGCTACATCATATAACCTATGAAGCTGCAATATTGTGTTAATCTAAAAAGTAACACAATTATTGCTTATTAATGGTTTAGAAAAAGATGACATATTTTACTCAAAAATCATGTAAAGAAGTAAAAACAATGCAATAGTTCTATGTGATATAATATAATTGTTCTGATAATAAGCAATTTATGTAATTGATACACTTCCTGTCAATGCCACTTGTTGTAGATATACTCCATCTTACATGCAGAAATCTTTAAGTGTTAAAAACCAACCAGCAGAGGGCCCCAACTAAGAATCCCCCCCCCCCCCCAAAGTTCACAGGTTTGACAGAAGCACTCGTCCAGTGCTGATCTAGAATCAGGTCATCCCGTCTGAATCCCAGCCTTTAGCATCACGGCATGACGTAATAGCTGCCATACTATCAGTGGATAGGGCCCTGTGTATTTGGCCACTTCTGAATATCTATGAGGGATGTGGGAGGAGTGTGGGAGGAGGGCGGGAGGGGAATCGCTGACCAAGCCTGTTGCGCCTCGTAATCTCAGGTTACAATCTAAGCCAACAGCTGTTAGAGCTACAACCATGACCTAAATATTACTTCATGCATTCGGGGCTAATAGGTTTTGTCTCTCCCATCCCCATCCCCACTCACACACACAACCCACTAATGTTCATTCCCCCACACTCTGTATGAGTGAACTTGGAATAGATGACTGATATGACTTGTCCTGTCATAAATATAAGTATGTGATGTATCTAAAGGTATCTCAACTTCAGAATTGTTTCTCCAGTTCACAGAAATCCTGCAGAAGCCTTGTGAAAATGCTCCGTACTCAATCACAAAACACTAACACAGAAGTGTATTCCAAAGGAATGTAGTTTTTATTCATTGCCTCATAACAAACTGCAAACAGTAGATGTTGTTGGCCATGATACTGCATTGCCAGCATAAAGCTATTTTCATGTTGATGCTAAATTTGTTAATCCCGCGACCACTTCCAGTTTTAAGTGCAGAACTCACTGCTGACTCGCGCTGAAGCCAACGAGGTTTATTTGGAGAAATGATTTTGTTGTGCAGTGACCCAAAGCAACTCATCACCATGTTTATTAGACACACACTTGTGGATGACACTTACGCTGCAATAGCCATGAGGAGTTAGGACCGTGAAATTGTGCTCTGTAAGAAATCCTGACAAAATCCCTGCTCTGCCCGTGGCTCTGTGTGTTTTAAACTCACAGCCGTTATTTTCACTGTTCTAATGTTGAAACGGGGAGCGGACCTATTGCTCAATAATGGGTCGACTGTTTTTTATCAGAGAGTCCACATGTTATCATTTCAATTCTACTTATACTGCAATTGCTAATAGATTAAACCCCTATTTATGGAAATCAAGAAGAGTACAAAAAATCCCATCAATGTGTTATTAACTTTCCAACAGAACATAGTGGAGGCATTTGAAATGATTAGTATAATAAAGCATCAATATACCCTGTACACACCAAATTCAGTCTCAGAGGCGCTTTCGGCGCGATGAATGGGCTTTTGCAATGTAAACATTTGAGATAGTAATAGTGCTTCACATTTCAGTGTTGGTCTCTTACGTTAAGACTAGAAAACATAGCTGTTATCATATCAGTATGTGAAAAAGTCTATATTTCATAAAAAATACAAAGTTTCTCATCAAAAAGTATTCAAATCTCATATAAACTGTATATGTAAATACATTCATGGGTAAGTCTTTGTAAAGCAGAACAAAAAGTGTCTGAAATATTGCTGTCAAATGACATTATCTATATATATATAAGCTTATGTTTAGCTTTCTCAGTCAATATGACACACCTACTGGTATTCTCCACTGATTCCTGCTGTGCTTACAGTTTGAGAGAATCTGTGTCAATAAGTGTCCTCTGCTCCGATACAGCTTAACTCAGTGTAAACACACTGCTGTATTGAACACCCAAAGCCTAATCAAAGATAGACTAGGCCATCCATCAAAAAGCAATAAATATGAAAAATAAGTTAATTAAAAGCATTTCAAGTATCAAATCCCCTGGGTAATCACTGCTTGACATCATGAAGGACACTGAGCAGTGTGCATTTAATGCTGTCAAAGCTGCAGCAGACATTTTAAAGTCAACTAGCATCCCCCTTGCAGCCTCTTTTAGGAACACATCTGCTTATTCATATCTTGAAGAAAAATATTAAAGCCAAATCTCTAAAACATAATAGTCTTTTGAAGTGAGCATGGCATCTTCTGAGGCAATATTATTTCCTTTTCCCAGCAGCAAGGTGTCTCTTGGTCACAACCTCCAGCCTCCTCCTCTCCGCGTCCTCGGCTTTCCTCCTTTCTTCTTTTAGCTCCTTGTACCGCCACTTTGGTAGTTGCAACAGGTGCCCCCCTCCGTCTTTGAAGCTGCTCTTCCTCCGTATCTTCTCTGGTTCGTACGTGGGCGTGGGGGCCTTGGAGACCCTCACTTTGGGAATGCTGAACCCCGGCCTGACGCTGCTCCTCCTCAGCACCATGTGCATGGGCAGCAGGCTGGTCCTCCGCAGCTCCAGGGCCTCGTTATAAGCCACCGTGCTCAGGCTGGAGCTCCGGTGTCGAGGCACCAGGCTCTGGGGCTGAAGGCTGGCCCGGCGGTCGGCTGAGTTCTTGGCCACCAGTGTGACCCGGGAGTTCTGGAAGAGTTTGAGGTGGCTGTCCACCCTGTCGGGGTTGATGGAGCGGAGCTCCTTGGCGCGCTGCTGGCGGATGATCTCTGGGACTGCATACCGCCGTTTACCCACACTTGGGAGGCTGTCTGGACACACCTGAAACACAACAGCCCCTGGTTGGTATCACTTGTATTACTTTTTATAATATCAGTATTTGTAGCACTGCAGTAGCAATAGCAGTAATAATTAGCAGAATTCTGTTCAGTTTCCCTTTTGATTGCGGTGTTGCAGTACTTGTAATCTTGCATGAATAACCTGCTTATCAGATAAGGCCGCCGTTAATTATATGCTTTAATTATTATGTGCAAATCCCATGAAAAAGCAGAGAATTCATTGATTAAAGCAAAGATAAATTAGCATCAGATTTATCCTTTAATAGCACAATTACCACAATATTATCATCAGTTTGTTTGCACATTGAGTCTATGAAACAGCAGTGATAGTACTACTTTATTCTACTGCTTGATAAGAACAATAAGAGAAGCAATTTGCATACACGCAAATATTGACTGTTTAGTCCCATTTGGAGTCTGTGGAAGGTGATTCCCACAACGTACAAGAATGGTTGGCTCCATCTGAAGATAAGAACGTGAGCTCCGATACCTCCAACTGTGCTGAGTGTGTACAGACACTGGAATAATGCAGAGGAGAGCGGCTTTAAAAGAGAAAACTATCACAAAGAGTAGTTACCTGCATAACCTTATCTCAGCATGCAGTTGCAGAATGCTTGTTGGTGTCAGGGGGAAATAGAGTAACATGTGGGGTTGATGGATCTGGTGGGATACTGTTTGATGCTGATCAATGAGTACCTGGATAATGAAGAGTAAACATGATCTAGAGCGTTATTACTCACTGTATGGCATGCCACAGCAATGACTGGGCTCCTCATGGCCGTCGTTACAGAAACCATGTGGTCGATAACACCTTGATCCTCAGGGTTGGTGACGTTCGAGATGTTGAAGATGTTCCTCACGGTGTCAGACAGGCGCCTCAGACAGCCACGGGGCTCCTGGGCTTTGGCCACCAGCGATGCCAGCGGGCGCCACTCTAGACTGGCAAAAAGAAATTAGATATAAATCCACTGCACAGGTAGGTAGGGCTTACTCTTGACACCATCATGAAGTAAGTCATAGACTCTCTCAAGGCGACTTTTGAGTTGTTATAGTCAAGAATGCTACACCACCTCTTCAGATATTGGTTGATGATATTGTCCATGACAGACAGGCAGACAGAGAAACAATGTGAGCCAGCCATGAGTTTACCTATATGTCTCACAGTACTGGTGCGGGCAGGGCCGTTCCATCAGGCGCGTCATCACCCAGGCAGTTTCATAGCGGCCCGTAAAGAAGGCCCACTCCCTGGCAGTGAAGTGGCGGCCGAGGTCCCTGGCATTCAGGGAAGCTCCTGGTGGTGGCACAATTATAAAGAAGGTTAAATATGTCAAAGAACGGATATAGTGGATACACAAAGATTAGAAGAGGACAGCAAAGAAATGACTGAAGATTTCCAAATGCTGCTATCTGTCTCGGTGTTCTCATGTGTTCTTCACCTGCCATCATGAGCGAGCGCACACATTCCACCCTGCCCTGCATGGCAGCTTTCATCAGAGCGGTGAAGCCGTGGCAGTTCCTCCTCTCGATGTCCAACCCCGGGTAGTAGTTGAGCAGATAGTTGGTGATCGTTATGTGGCCTTGAAGAATAGAGGGACGGACGGTTGTTACTGTACGTTATAACACAGTCTATAGTCAAGGCATTCACACGAGATCCACATCCATACGCTGGTCCTTCTGTTTCAAAAACACCTGCGTACAGTTAAGTGTGTGTGTGTGTTACCTGCTTGAGCAGCAGTGATGAGAGCTGTGTTTCCCTCGCTGTCCTGCCAGTTGACATCCAGATACGGACACTGAGACAGCGCTATGACAACGTCCACATAACCCTGGTAACACGCGACCAACAGCCCGATCTGAGACAAAAAGGGACAGGAGAGGAGTTAAAGGTACAATATGCAACACTTTCCTAAATAATTAATGTATGGACTGATGTGAAAATAATCCCTCTCAATCATCACTTATGACCAACTTCTCTTTTCTTCCTATTTTTGCTGTGTTTGGGACGTTTCTGGCCGTCAGCAAAAACCATTTGGACACCATGTGGGGGACATTTTTTGGCAACCAAGATGTTGCAATTAACTTTCATGAAGTGAAAACACACTGTGAAAGGGTTAAAGATCTATGACGAACACACGGACAACTCCCAGACCAAACAACGGCGTCTCAAGGAACAACATCATTTGGTCTGCATCGCAGAAGAATTGAAACCAGTGATTGAGACCATAAACTCATATTTACAATGTGCACTGAGGTAATAAGTAAGTAGGGTCATTTTGTCTTCGATCTCTGCAATCGGACCTATCTTTGTAACCAGAGGAGTCGCCCCCTGATGGCCATTAAAAAGAATGCACGTTTAAGGCACTTCTGCATCGGCTTTACTTTTCAGAAACGGAGGTTGCTGCCTGGTAGAAACCAGAAGACCAGGAGACCTCTGTGCATCTTTCCAAACTAATATCCTTAAAAGAAAGTTGACATATGTTGTCTTTTTATTAAGAACTGAACCGTCTTGAACTGAGTGGAAAAACAAGCTGAGTCCCCCATCTGATGTTGTTGTGTACTTTTGTGCGTTCGTGCCGGAGTAAGAGCCCTTTTATGTGTATGGACGTAAGCGTAAATGTTAGTCTGCCAGTGTGAGTTTTCGGTTGTCCTGGAAAAATCCTGTAAAAGTTGGGTACTTTCTGGAAGGTGCACGCTTCACTGGCCAAGACAAACAAGTTCACCACCAGAGGAGAGATGGAGGGGGGGGGGGAGTTCTCAGTTGACATAACATGTGCACAGTGTGTTTATACATGAAATATTTCTGTTAGAAAGATATGTCTTTCACTTTCACTCAGAGCACAGGTGGATAAATGTCAAGCTTTCATACAGGAAGCCAAAATTCACAAATAAGTCGATGAATATGATATAATATAATGATAATGAATGATATAATGATATAATATGATGAGAATGAATGTGACTTAGATCTTAAAAAAACACCCGTAGGGACAAAAGTCATCCCAGGTGTCTTCTGTTTTGTTCTATCACAGGCATAACGGTAATGTACTACACTTAAACCTTCAACTGGAACTAGTCAAATACACGATGTTCTTGATGTTAAAACTTCAATTCTTCATTAAAAACGTACATGATAGTTCACGTAACTTGTGAAACCGCAGCTTTTGTCAAAAAAAAAAAAATTATGTTGTTCACAACATAATCCAGGAATAGTGTAGGCCTTTTATTTCCAGTAAAAAGAAAATTAACTTTCACAGCTTTAAGGCTTTTCCAATGAATGTATTCCTTGATATTTTATTAACTTTACTAAAATAGAGGTGAAAATGAACCCTGCGTGTTACATGTCATCAGGGTATGTCATACTGTACATAATGTAAAAGAATAAGGCATGGTGAACGTACACGTCCTGTGCTTTTTCAAGTTTTACAGCACAGGCACGGTGATTAATAAAGAAGCAATATCTATAAACCAGCCAGTTGCTGTGAACATCAGACCTTCGCCTTAAAGAGTTGTTAATCAGACTTAGGAAATCAATTCAAACTTTGCTACAAAGAGGGAAGTATTGTCCGTGAACCTTCTTCTGTGACATGATGTTCCCTTCATAAGAGCACGAGTAAAACCTACTTGCCGCTTTGCACCTCTTGGCCCGAGCACACCGTGCTACTCCCGTTAAATATTCTATTCAACTCTGCTGTGGATGTGATCCAAAGTTCTGTCTCCCTGATATGAACAAAATATAATAATGACTGAAGATTAGTACAGAGGGAACGTTTATAGACAACCACACACACACACACACACATTATACTGAAGGTGTGCAATAGAATAAAGTTAAATCTGCATTTCCACACACTAAATTCTAAACAATATTGCCACTCATCAAAGTCAAAAACCTAATGCAAAAAATCTATAATGTCACTGTAATGTTACGTTAACATGCGCCCCCCCCCCCCTTCCTTTATTTCTACTAATCTGTATCAGACAGGGATTTTGGTTTAGTCTGCAGGACAGGCTGTGCAGCACATGTACAGTAGACGTTGTTGTTCTTTCACCTGCGAGACGAACTAAACTTAAACCTTTGGCTGAAAGGAGCCGGGCTGTCAGCCGGCTGGAGATGTAGTCACGTTGGTGCTGGAGCATAGCGAGAGGTGAGGTGGAGAGAGGTCCTGCGGAGCAACTGATGGATCGTCTGGAAGACGTTCACTTACACTGGCACAGCTCCAGATTGCTTTATCTGGTTAGACACACGCATGCTGACCTTGTCTGTGTCTCTCTCTCTCGCACACACACACATTCTTGGCAAGCCTCCTGCCTTGCTGTGCTGTGCTTTAGCAGCATGCCCTGCAGCATGTCTGGAGCAATCTCAGTCGTCTGGCACTGTCCTTTTTTTTTTTTTCAAGCATTTAACTTACTTTCTACCTGTTTCTCCCAGGCTGTATTTTTAATCTCAACACATCCCTATCTGGAGATTTTTGTTTCATCTATTGGCTCTCTGAGGCACTTAACCAGTGGCTCGACCTGAGAGAAGAGCACCAGCGAAATGCACACACAGCATGCGATTGCAGGGACGCACATTAATCGGGGAAAAGACAATTATGTGCTCCACAATATTACCCACTCGATGCCTTAAATGTGAGGCTTAGGGGATAAAAATAACAACACTACCAGGTAGCTCAACAACCCTGAAACAATCACGAGAGGTACTTCCATGGATGGATGAGTGTGTGTGTGCAGTGCATGTGTGTGTGTGTGTGTGTGAGAGAGTCAGAAGAATGTAAAGTGAGACTTTGATTTCGACACCGATGGTTTTTGGCAGGATTATGCATTTTGTATGTAGGCCAAATGAAGATGCACACTATGGCAATCTCAAAGCTTTCATTACTTTATTCTGATGGACGTAGACATATGCCCTCCCTGACTGTAATCTCCTCTGTTCCATTACACTGGATTGTAGCCGCTCTCGTAAATTGAGTTTATTTTTACCCGCAAAACTCGCCTTTGATGAAAGTGCAGTTTTTCTTGACATTTTCTTTTATAATAGCTCGTAAAGTTAAGTATAATGTAGCATATGTTGCGTTTGAAGCCCAAATGGCCTGTGGTGTTGAGTGGTATTTTATCTCTTGATACTTAAACATGCTCCTCTGAATTAAGATGACTCTAATCCAATACATGTAGGTAGCACTTTCTTTATTTTCTGTGCATTAATATGTGGGCTGTAGATTTTTGTTCACATAGCTGTCGAAACATTAGCAATTTAGGCTGTCTGTCCCTCTAAAACAGTCAACAATTTGGGAGGATTCATCATTCTGGTGAGTTTAAAATTCAAATGTACTTTTGGTAATGCCAATTTTGATCAAATAAGTACATAAGTCTTAATTTTCTTAGCAAAAATGAATATTTCTTTTTGTTGAATTTAACTAAAACTGCATTTACCATAAAGGTCAGTGGGTTCTGATAGTGTCTGAATACAGACAAACTAATTCTGTTCAACTTATTATTAGCCCATATACACATACACAGACAAAGACACAAGCACACACACACACACACACACACACACACACACACACACACACACAC